GTCACTGACCCTATACAGGATTCACCAGAGGTATGCATAAGTACAAAGCAGTGAGACAACGGAAATAGCGATATATACAGAGTAAAAAGAGAAAGAAAAAAAAAAACAAGAAAAGGAAAAAAATAATAATAATAATAAGAAAGAGGGAAGCAAGAAATCAACACAAAAAGAGTAGCAGTAAGAAAGTGAGGAGTGAGTATCACTTGGCCTTCTTCTGAGATATGGACTTGTGGAAACCATAAAACGCCGTAGCAAAATACTTATTCTGGGTCATATTGTCAATTATTGATGGAAGTGAAGCACAGAGTTGCCCAGTTTTGAGCATAAGGGTTCTTCTTTCTTCTTTCAGAGCAGAGCAATCAAAAATATAGTGAGTGATTTCATTTTGTAGTTTTGAATTACAGAAGGTACAAGTCGGGTCCTCACCGCAGAGCATCTTGGTGTGGTTTTCTCTAAAAAAACTTGAAAGTATTCTAACTTGTGCGAGTAGTCTTACAACCGGGAAAGGAAAATCCCCTAAAAGGTATCCCTCCGTCATGAAAGATATGTGAATGTCTTTGTAGTGAGAGTATAGCTTAGATTTATCCATTCTTGTAAGGTCGTTTTGTATAGATTGGTCTGCCGCTGTTTTTAAGAGCCCTGTAATCGCGCTCCTCAGCGTTTCAGGGTCATCACAGGAAACAAGTGCAGGGGATCCATTATCGTTAAGCAGATTAGTGAGCTTTTTAATGAAACCGATGGGTGTGCCCGAAGCATTAGAGAGTTCCCGTGTTCTATTAAAACATATACGTGGCAATCTGTCACTGCTCATATTCAACACCCGCAGCCAATACTTCAGGGTTAATTTTAAGGCTGTTACACTCAATGAGATACGACCGGTTTCTAATCTGATTAGGTAACCTGGAGTGTATCTGGGCAGATTCAGGAACCTACGGATAAATATGTCTTGTATATTGTCCAGTAAGTCTTTATGCTCTGTTGCCCATAATGGAGCGGCATACATCAGGACAGCTCTCACTATTGTATCAAAGAGTTTGATTGATAAATTTATTGACTTTGCTTTTGATTTTATTAATATTGGGTGTGTGGCGTTAATTGCTGTAAGTGCTTTTCCTTTAAAGTAATTTGCCGGGTGAGTAGTTGTTATTGTTGGTGTCAGAGGGAATCCCAAGTATGTATATCTTGAAGTTATTGCTATGGGTTTATCATTCCAGAACCATCTATCCTTATTTGAGGGTTTACCTCCATTACGGAACACCATAATCTTTGACTTGGACTCATTTAGTGTCATTAAGTTCTCATCGAGATATTCTTTCAGTATTTTGATCTTCTTTTGGAGGTTTATCCTGGACTCACCTATAATTGCTATGTCGTCGGCGTACAGCAATAAATGGATATCTCCAAATTCTGGCAAATTTACACTCGGCAGGTCTGAGTTATTATAAATTTCGATTAAGTCCGTGATAAATAATATAAATAGCAGTGGGGAAAGTGGTTCTCCCTGGAGGACTCCCGAGTTTATCTTAATACTTTCCGTAAATGATCCCTTCCATCTGATAGCTATAGTTGCTTGTTCGTAGTAACTTTTGATCGTACTTATGAATTGGTAACTTATGCCTAGGTTGTAAAGTTTTTTCCAAAGTAGTGAGTGGGGTACAGTATCAAATGCCTTCCTTAGATCGACAAAAAAGACATATAGTTTTCCCCTCTTTTTTCTTAATGATAGTTGGATTAAAGTAGTTAGTGTAAATATGTGGTCAATACATGATCTTTCTTTTCTAAATCCCGCTTGGTTTTCGGGTATAACCCTTCTTCCTTCGACCCATTCCTCCAGTCGTGATCTTAGGATTGATGTGAAAAGCTTTGATACATTGCTAATCAGTGCAATACCTCGGTAGTTGGAGGGGCTGTTCTTATAACCATTTTTAAAGATTGGGTGTATAGTGGAATTAGTCCAAATTGCTGGGTATTTTCCAGTCGTCATAACACTATTGTAGAGTTGTTTCAACAGCAGTATGTACGAATCAGGGAGTGTTTTTAATACTTCATTGGGGATGCCATCGGGCCCGCATGCCTTGTTACTCCTCAAACCAGCTATCTCCTTGTATATGTCTGCATTGGTTATCTCTGAGTCCAATATAGGATCGTTCTGAGAAATCACATTATGTAAATTACAAATTCTCAAATTTTTCTCTGTAGTCATTAGTTCGCGGTAAAAGTTCAGCCAGTCCTGTATAGATATTTCTCCTTGGATTATAGATGTGCTTTTGTAGAGCGCAATAGTTTTCCAGAAGGTCTTTGAGTCTTTAGCATTTCTGAGTATTTCCTGTTTTTCATTATCAAAGCCTTTCCTTTTTAGATCCAATAAAGCGAGATATTTCTTTCTGGAAGAAGCATAACATTCTCTGTCTTCCAATCTATTTGTTTTACGATATTTCTTCAGACTTTCTTTTGCCAGTTTTTTCATATCATAGCAGTCCTTATCGAACCACGGCTTAGATTTCCTGGGGCCGCCCTTAATTGAGTAGGTTATTTTTGCAGATGACATTGCTTCCAAAATTCGCTGATTGAAAGTGTATACAAGGTCATCGGAGGCTGGTATGTTTTTTTCCCGCAATTCTTCCAGTTTCATTTTAAACATTGCGAGTCCATCGGCTGACCATATATATCTCGTAATATTATAATCTTCCCGTTTGGTTTTTTTCTCATTGAAGTTTTGGCCTTTTATCGTTAAAACCAAAGGATGGTGGTCTGAGTACAGTTGGTCATCGACTTTGAAGTCCAGTAAAATTTGTAGTGAACCCTGTGAGAGTATGCAATAGTCAATAGTTGAAGAGCCTCTTTCGGATATGTATGTAAAATCTCCATCTTTATCACCTCTAGATCTTCCATTAACTATTGTCAAAGAATTATCTTCCAGGAAATCAAGAAGTTTATTAGACAGAGATGATATTATATGATCTTTAGCCCTTCTTTCCGATGTTAGGGGGAGCTGGAAATTAAGTGGATTGTGTAGTCCTCCCAACTTCCCAGTTCTGATGTTTAAATCTCCAAGTAAAATAATTTCTTTTCCATCTGCTATTTGCTTTTGAATGTATGTAAACAGTTTATCTAAGTTATGCAGCTGTATTTGGTTTGGAGGAAGGTATACAAATATTAAACAGATAACATGTTGGGGGGCTCTTGTGTTTGTTGATAAGAAAATAGATAACCAAGTGCCATCCTTTTCAGAACTCTCTACTCTATATTTCCCGCCTTCCCTAAAACCGACAATTATACCCCCTGACCCTCTTCCCCTTCCAGATTCTTTGGTGGCAGGTAATTCGATAATTTGATAATCTTTTAGTGTTATGTTAGTCCTGTTCAGGCACCATGTTTCAAGTAGAGCAAAAATTTCGTAGTTCTTTATGTGCTCGAGGAGTGGAAATATCGAAAGAATCCTATAGAAACCATTTATATTCCAACATATTATTTTTTCCGCGATGTCTCGCGAATTTTCAGAAAAATTTGCATTGTCATCGTCTTGAGAATCATATTTACATGTATTTATGTCGTAGTAACTTTCCGTTATTTGATTATGGGGCGGAGAATTAATTTGTGATTTTGATGTCGTATTTCTTCTATTTACACAATTGTTTCTACAAGGTTTTTGCTATATAGCAACTCCTGTGCTATCAACAACTTGGCCATTCATCACTTTACAGACTTTATCATTTACCAAAAGCTTGTTATCTCTCAACTTCGATTTTATTCCCCTTTCACCCAATTCTTTCCTTTTTGCAATTAGGATGCGCCGTTGCTCTCTAACATTTTTACTATAATCTTTACTTATCGAAATTTTAGTATCTCTGAGTTTGTAGGCATTTTTAAATATTTTTGCTCTATCAGCATAATCAGGCACCACAACAAGAACTGGTGCATTGGATCCGCGTGAAAGTCGGTGACATTTTGTTATTTTTAAATCATCTCCGATTTCCATTTTATCTCTAATTATGTTTTGAATCTTTAAGTTGCAATCTGCCTGATTTTCGTCACCCTCCCTCTCAATACCATAGAACACTAGATTGGGCTCACGCAGTCTCGTCTCAAAAAAATTCGACTCTAGCCTCCAGTTCATTTACCTTTAACGAATTACATGAAGCCAGTTTTTCGGTAGCCTGTTGAGACTCTATACATTTGGTTAGCTTCTCCTCTATATTGCAGAATCGCTTATCCCAATCGTCCATTCGAGTCTCTATTTTGGTAAGTCTGATGTCAATTCTCTCTCCTAGACTCTTTATTTCCGTCGCCATGTTCAAGATTAGCATTTTTAGCTCGCCATCTATTGATTCTCTCTCTCCTGAGTGTACTGACGCAGTCAAAGTAGTTTGCTTTTTGGTTGGGGGGCCTGGGTTTTGTTCAATGCCTGAGATAAATAATAGAGCCAGAATGATACATAGCAGTCTTTTTTGGTTACCAGATATATTCCCAGATGGTAAGTTTATATTTAGGCCACATTGTCTATCATTATCCCTTCGTACTGAGTTTTTTGCATAGTGCGTTACCTTGAGTAAATTTGCATATTTATTGTTGCATAACACGAGTACTAAGAGTGACAGTATTATCCCTTTCATAGTATAAGGCAAATATACACTGAAATATTAGTAATATAAACTATATTTACCGGAGCGGTGCTGCACGTGTTGTTTATTGTCCGGCCACCTAGCGGCGAATCTTTTTTTTTTTTTTTTTTTTTTTTTTTTTTTTTTTTTTTTAAACATACTCCTGTAGAAAGAACTGAATTTGGATTATAGCTACAAGGTAATAAGACCTAATCCAAATAAATAGTGTTTGACGTTTCATTAACAGCATTGTTATCATCATTAGACAAAAGAAACGTCACACACTATTAATTTATTTGGAATAGGTCTTATTTTCTTGTAACATTTTACTTGATTTTAAAATAAAAATACCTCAATGAGAGGAGACAAAGTAACTTTATTTTAAAAAAACATTGTAACTTCCATTATAGCTCAAGACTGGTGGAAGGTTGGTTAAACCGTTTGGTTTTCGCCCACTACGACCCGGGTTCGATTCCCGCATTGGACACTTTTTTTCTGTTAAAAAAAATGCTCCAATGGCCCCCGATTCTTGCAAAAGTCCAACCCCACCAGCGAGCGCAAGTAACCAAACGGGGCTCTGGCACATTTGTAAGTGCAAAGTCGAACTGCTTTTCACATGTGTAGACATGTGGTGCACTTACAGTAAAAAGCAGTCGCTTACTTTTACCCACCATGATTATCATGGCCTGTACCACGTGTACTAGGGATAAGCAAAAAAAAAAAAAAAACATTTAAAAGAATGAACAATCAGTGATGCAAACAATGAAAAGGACCATAAAGTTATGTTATACTTTAAAAAATAGATACAACTCCGCCATCACCGGTCCCGGATGAAAAAGGATGAGGGGAGCAGTAACAAGCTTGCTAAAAACCTGGGTTCAGCTGGACCCTGTAAGGGGCCCTAATCCAGGGATACAGGATGAGCAGCGTTTGTACTCCATGTTAGGAGCAGCTGCACATGGCGTCTGTTCCTCATGTCAGAGGCGGCCATTTCTTTTGGAGCTAAGTCGGCCTGCCACTGAGTAGTGCTCCCAGTCTTAATGACAAAGGCAGACACATTCTACTTCACCCAGTCATGATGGTTGTCAAACAGACACCATCAAGGGTCACAACTTGATACCCTAATATGATTGAGTGGAGATAAGAATGAAAGGAGAGAGGAAAATAGATACAAGATCTAACATCAAACTTTGTGCTATGTCTACATGGACAACAATAACAAAGACAATATTCCTACATTAACATGACACAACTAGAAAACAGATCAAATGACTATATTATGAAAACATTGTTATCAAAATAGTTTCTGTGAAAGTTTCTTACACAACAAATCTTTCATTTTAAACAACAATAGTTTTCATATTTGAATTCTATATTATTTTTTTAACTTCTAGTATGTTTAGATAATAAAAGTGATTGATGGCTAAAGTATATCAAATTTCACCAAAAATATAAATAAAAGGTTTTAAAATTTAAATAACATTTACCTTTCTATAGATTCTTAGGGAAAAGAATAGGCCAATTATTCTCAAATAAATAAAAATGCTATAAATGATATAAGAAATTCATTACAAAAGATTATTGAAATGATAAATTTAACAAATCTAACAAATCACTATTTGCACAGAGTATATATACATTCTTTTGTGTGCTTAACTAATTATACAGAGAAAAATTTATCTAAAGTAAAATTTTACTACTTAATAGTACAATATTTCTATATTTTCATTAGAGAGATATATATATATAATTATTTCAAATATAACTTATATATAAAAACATACACATGTATATATTTACTAAACTATTTATTATAAATTCTCAAAAATGTGGAATATCATTTAATATATATGTTTTGATAATGTCACAATATATATAGTTTTCCCTTTAAATTGACAATTTTGTTATAAATTTAATAATTATAATTAAATATTTTGTTTACTTACCTAATATAAATCCAGACCCAAAATAGAAAACATGCGTTTGTGAAGTAGTGCCAATGACATTGACATACTTTAGATCTTTTGGCAGGTTCAATAACTCGTTTAACACGAAAAATTAAGGCGTCATTTAAATGTTACGTCTGTATAAGAGTTAATAAACCAAAAGGTGTATATCACAAAAAGAGAAAAGGTGGAAGAGAAAAAAAATGAAAAATAAAAATGTGCCAAGCACAATAAACTACTGCTAGCTCCCAAAAGGAAATACCATATTTTGATCACGTGATGCAGAGGTGGCGACGCCAGCGCTAAATTGAAAAGGGAACAGCCCTTTTTACGGAGTTGGCATTTCAAATTGCGATTTACACCGTTTTTCTTTCCCTTTTTTTTTTAAAGCTTTTCAATAATTAACTTTATATTTAGCTAATATTGAAATTATATACTTTTCATTACCTTTTATATTTTACTCAGACGTTTCGGATAGAAAAAAATGTAAAGGGTTGAGTATCTCAGCTTTTTTTTTCTGCGAATATTTATTAAAATCGAGAAATGTGATATTTAACTACATTCGTAATTTGTCCATTGTATAGTATGGCGCAATTAGAGAAAATATCTTTATTTTACGGGGCTGCTAACCAAAATGAATGATTTTTGAGCCCCGATGGACGCATAAAGCGGAATATATACAAAGCATAGTTGGGGGGCCTGGGATCATCGCAAGGGATCCTAGGATCTGGCAGTGGAGGTGTCATCGCAGGGGGGAGGAAGCTGGAGAGGTCAAGGAAACAGCGCCTTGATGGGTGAGAAGCCTGGATGGAGGCCAGTTGAGGAGGCAGGAGGTCCTGGAAGCCTAGAACTTGAGGGCTCTAAGCTTCAAGATGGGGCAGCTTGAGGCTCTCGCCTCGTGCTTGTCTGGGAGGCCCTTGGCACAGCAGTTGGCGCACTTGGAAGTGTGCCAGTCGGCAACTGAGGGGCAGGCACGGCCTTCATGGCCGCCTTCACCGCAGTGGAAGCACGTGGGAGCTCTGGTGCATTGGGCAGAGTTGTGGCCGAAGCCACAACAGCGGAAGCAGACTCGTGCGCGGATGGACTCCTCGAAGTTGAGGATCACACCATCCACCACGATCCTTCCACGATTTCCCAGAGCTCTGAAGGTCGTGAGGTCCACCTCGATGAAGGCGGTGCAGGTCCCGTTTCTGGGTGCAGAGCGATGCGCCACGCGCACCACCTTGTCCCCAGGGAGTTGGCTGACAGCAGGGGTTTCCAGCAGCGTCTCTTCAATGGTGGAGTTGGATGTTTCCTCATCCACTTTGAAGAGGCAGATGCGAGGCAGGATCACCTTCTGTTGGCGGACCTTCATGCCATCCAGCTTGTTGGCCAGGGAGGTGGCCACAGCTGGGATGGTATCGGGGTTGCTGGAGTGGAGGACAAGCTTCCCTTTGGTTCGCAGGGAGGCCCAAACGCCTTGGGGTAGAGTGTGGGCAGCGCGGACAGCTTTAAGCATTGCTCTTGGGTCAGCCTGTGGGTCATCAGAGATGACCACTGTGTGGGCCGCCGATTTTTCCCCATGGAGGACCACTTGGGCGGCCGCAGGCTTGGGGACGCGGGAGGGCGCAGGTTTTGCGGGACCATTGAGGTTGGTCCTCTTTGCGGGCGGGTAGGGAGCCTCAGGCTGTTTCCTTTTGGTTGGAGCGGGAGTGGCGGGCTTGGTGGGGTCAGTCTGAGTGCTGGTTTCCTTGCAGGAGGGAGAAGGGCTGGTTTGAGTGCTGTGGCAGGCTGTCTGTGGCTTGATTTCGTCCAGTTCCTTAAAGGACGCGAGGGTGCCAGAGAGGTTCTCTACCTCGGCAATGAGGGCCTTGATCTGCTCAGACCGTAAGTTGATGAATTCCATTAGGCTTTGGAGCAGGTAAAATCGGGAGGTAGGGTAAGGATTCTGTATTTTCTGCTCGAAGTTCTGCTTCACCTCTTCGTTCTCCATCTCCAGTTGGGCGAGGGGCTTCTCGGCATTCTCGGCATTCTTCTTTTTCTTCCTAGGAGCCATGGCAGGAGCAAATTGTTGTGACCAACGATCTAACGTATATTGGTATGATGGAGCTATATGGCGCAATTAAAATATACTTTTGTTTATATACAGAAGTATAAATAACATCTATTTTTGAAAAAAAAAAAAAACATTAAGTAAAAATCAGCGCTATACTAAGACATCCATTTTTTTTTTTTTTTCAAGTGATCATAATATTGACACTTTGAATGACAGGCATTCATAAAAATAATTCGAAAAAAAAAACTCTAGTTAGAATCAGTTTCATAAGCAAAAGATCATAATATTGACACTTTGAATGACAGGCATTCATAAAAATAATTCAAAAAAAAAAAAAAACTCTAGTTAGAATCAGTTTGATAAGCAAAAGATAACTTATTTGTTTATTGACAAAGAAATTCCATTGTTGATGAAATATTTTATGTGAAGGAGTTTATTTATTTTGTTTTATTCAAAGGGAATTAGAATATTTAAGAGATTTGTGTTCCACCGATGTACTACAAATTGTATTGGTAGAAAAAAAAACGAAAAAGAAAAAAAAGCAAACACCTGGGTTGGTTGATCGGTAACAACCCAGGCTGAAGTAGATTGATAGAAAGAGAATGGAGAATGCTGTCTAGTGCTGTCAAAAATATGGCTCTCCACGTGAAGTAAATAGAAGTGAGGCAGACACAGGAAACTATTGTTGTCTCGTACATAATTGAGGAAAACCTCAGGATGACAAGGCAATTATTTTCATCAAAACAAACAAACCTAAGTTACACATAAAAAACGAAATAAAAATGTTGAATAATAAGATTATAAAATTACAATAACTATAAAAAGAAAGGATATCTACACAATCTAGCTATGCGCCATCTTTTGCGTAAAAAAAATCCATCTAATTTTAATAATATGTGATTAAATTTTAAAAAAAGTTAGTTATGTAGCTTTTTCCCTATGAGAGCTGGGTCTCACTGCTTTCAAATCTTGTTGCTTCTGATATTCTTGTTTCTGAATGAATTCCTTCGACGTCTTGAAATTTAGTCCTCACTAGTTTTGTTTCTGTATATTTGCATCGTGTCGTCAAGTCCTCGGGCTTGACATAGCAATGGATTCAGTGGTGGATAAGGTCAGTGGCCAGTTGTATAAACCTTCGATTTCCGACAGCCATGAACCGGGATCAAATCCCCACTGGACACTTTTTTTTAAATATGTGAAGAACCTCTTCATATATTATTTATTGTGATGCATTAGCGCGCCATCTGTTATGAAAATTGGAAACTATTATAGACGCGTATGATTCTTTTAAAAATAAAACAATTAATTTGGGGGCCCTCCCATTAATTTTTCCATCGCAGTAAGGACAGTAGAAATTGTTTAATCTTTAAAAGAATGATACGCGTCTATAATAGTTTCCAATTATTCATTGTAAATAACAAAAGCAAGGTTTCTCTTTTTGAGCGGTACCTAATAAAGTCATTTTGGAACCGGAATCAAGGGCGGCAAAACGAAGTCCACAGCTCC